TTTTCCTTCAGTCTTGCTTATCATTGACTCTCGTTTTGAGCATTCAGCCATCTAATTTCATTAGATGTAAAATGTCTCAGCATGCTATTGATCTGACTTTCTAGCAGACTAGGGGTTGGGGGAATGGTTGAGGCTATTCACTTTGATGAGCCATTGAGAAAAACTAAGTAATTAAAAAAAATTCATACAGAGAAGCTATGAGTTTTGTGTATTTGTTGTCTGAGAAGCCTGTATTTAATGCTATTCCCAGGACGTATAACTGTGTTATTATGCTTCTTTAATAATGTATTTCTGAAGCAGTTATCCATTCTCAGAATAGGTATCTCAGTAATTTGATGGCACTAAACTTCTGAAAGATTATTTGTCTTGAGTTGTTAGTATGTAGAAAAAAATTAAAGTAGGTCAGTTTTAAAATGAAAACATTGGTTTCAATACATGGCTTTAACTATTTTCTTTAATGTTCTATTTAATTTTTAAAGTTAAATTTTATTTTTTGTTTGGAATAGACAATATATTCACGTGGTTCAAAGATCAAGGTAATACAAATGCACATTGTGAAGTTTTGCTCTTACATCTGACTGCTGTATTTTCCCTCTACCTGCATCACCTACATATGTTTATTAGTTTCTTTGTATATCTTTTCATATTTTCTTATGTAGATATAAGCAAGTACGAATATATGTTCTTATTGTTACTTCTTACACAAAAAGTAGCAAATCATATAGTATTCCATACTTGATATTTTTTACTCTTTGCTCATATATCCTTGAGATCTTTCTATATCAGTATGTAGTTTCCTTATTATTATTATTTTTTTTGTAGAGCATAGTATTGCAGTGTGTAGATGGAATCCTTTGTCGATGGATACTTGGAATACTTCCAGTCTTACTATATACAGTGCTACAAATACATATAAATATACATGTTGACACATGCACACACCTATACACACGTATTTGTATTCTGTCATCCTGGGTTCTCCAGCTGGGGCCTAGACAAAAGGCAGATTGACAAGAGAAGAACAAAACAAGTTTATTAACACATGTATTACTCTTAGATATGGGAGCACTCAGTGATGAGTAACTTAGGGTTGATAGAACATGGGCTTACATAGTATCTTAAAAGAACAGTAAAGTTTTAGATAAGTAACAACAAAAATGACTGAGTTTCTGGGGTGGCAAATTGTGGGAAGATAAATAGATGGGTGGACTAATGGAAGATAAGGGTTAGTTAGTACTTATGTAGGTTTTCCTGGTGCCATCTCTGAGCTGATAAGGGTTTAGAGTTGTATCTGGTGATTAACTTCTGTCCTTCCTGGTACAGAGGGAAGAGGTGGGTACCTTTACAAATTTATGTCCTACTTTTAGGCATATGGGGGGAGGGCAGAGAGCTTTTCTTTTATCTATTTCTTCTTAATGTCCTTGAGCTCAAAAGAATCATGTATCAAAGCAGCATATTCTGTTACCCTTCAGTACTTAGGTGTAATTTCCTGGAAATGGAATTTCTAGGTCCAGAAGGTAAATGCATATGTTTTGTTAGGTATTGCTTCATTTCATCTCCATAAAGGTTGTTCTGTTTTGTACTTCTGTTATCAATATATGAGAATGCTTTTTTTTCCCCAACAGACTGTTAATCAAACTTTAGAATTTTTATGAAACATTTTGAGTTTTATTATAAACATTTTTAAAATTAATAAACTATCTTTTAGAGTGGTTTTAGGTTCATAGCAAAATTGAGCAGAAAGTACAGAGAGTTCCCATATACACCATCTCCACACAGCCAGTCTCCTCCACTATCCACAATGGTACCACAATGGTACATTTATCACCATTAATAAACCTACGTTGACATCATCTGAAGTCTATGGTTTAATTAGAGTTTACTTTTTGTGTTGTATGACAATCTATGGGTTTTGACAAATGCATAATGACACATAGTATTGTATAGAATAGTAATGGTCATCATACATACTACCTTTATTTACTGCCCTAAAAATATTCTATGCTCTCCTTATTTATTTCTCCCTGCCCCCTAATCTGCAGCAACCACTAAACTTTTTACTGTCTGCAAAGTTTTGCCTTTTCCAGAAGGTTATGTATTTGGGATCATATATGTATTTGGAATCGGTATGTAGCCTTTACAGATAGGTTTCTTTTCCTTAGTAATATGTGTTTAAGTTTCCTCCATGTCTGTATATGACTTGATAGCTTATTCCTTTGTATTGCTGAATAATATTCTACTATCTGTATGTACCACAGTTTATTTACCTATTAAAGGACATTTTTGGTTGCTTCCAAGTTTTAGCAATTATAAATAAAGATGCTGTAAACATCTATGTATGGATTTTTTTGTTAACCTAAGTTTTTAAATCCTTAGGGTGACTATCAAGGAGTGTGATTGCTGGATCATGTAAGAGTATGCTTTGTAAGAAATTGCCAACCTGTCTTCCAAAGTGGCTGTATCATTTTGCATGCCCACCGGCAGTTAATGAGAAGTTGTGTTGCTCTCTATCCTCTCCAGCATTTGATATTGTTAGTGTTTTGGATTTGGGCCATTTTACTATATGTATAGTAGTATCTCATTTTAATTTGTAATTCCCTGATGTCATAAAATGTAGGAATATCCTTTCATAGGCTTACTTGCCATCTGTATATCTTCCTTGGTGAGGTATCTGTTCAGTTCTTTTGCCTATTTTTTAATTGGGTTGTTTTTCTTATTGTTGAGTTTTAAGAGTCTTCTATATATTTTGGATAATAGTCCGTTATTAGATGGATTCTTTGCAATTATTTTCTCCCATTCTGTGGGAGAATGTAAACATTTATGCTTGAAGGTTAACCCATGTGGAAGAATACAAAATTAGAAGCGTATGGTTTTATAAATTTTCTAAGTGAAGATATTACTGGCTTCTCAATGTAGTTTTGAGAAATTTGCATTTCTCTTACCAATGTGAGCATCTTTTCACATGATTACGGGCCATTTCTGTTTCTTTTTTTGTGAACTATCAGTTGACATCTTTTGTCCATTTTTCACTGAATTACTGGTCTTCCCCCCCACCCCCAACTAAGTCTTTAAAAATTGGGGAGATTATTTCTTTGAAGTGTGAATAAGATGTTTCCCTGTTTTCCTTACTAGTCTTTTCACTTTGCTTTTAGTTAGTTTGTCTTGCTATAAGAATTTTCTCAAATGGCTACATGGAATCTCTTCCTTTTTCTCAGCTCAGGATTTAGTGTTAAGTGTTACTGTCTTCTAGAATTCTTCCTGGTATCTTTTAAGGCTTTAATAAATATCTCATGTTCCCATGGTGCCTTTTGTGTATCTTTATCTTAGCATTTAATCACAATCCTTATCTCACCTGTCTTTCTATAGACTGTAAATTCTTTGAGGGCTAGGAATCTGTTTTAATCTCCTTGTGTCTCCAGTGTTTGGAGCATAAGAAGTATATAGTAAATACTAATGTTTTGTATGAATGATTGTTTCTTCTTTGTTTCTTGAGTTTTTATGCCTTTGATTTTACAGCCATTGCTGTCTATTTAGTACTCTTCATTTGCTATTGAACCAACCGGTCTTATTCATTTGTCTTGTCATCTTGTCATTTTCTACTCTTTATTGTACTTCCTTTGAGGATTGTCTTGGAGAGACATTGACTTATTTCTGGGGCCTCTGAAAGAGAACAGATCTTTTGAGTATTTTACTTCTTTCTTCATAATTAAGATTTGTGATAATATTTTGATGTAAACAAATGATATCATACCTATAAGCCCTTTTCTTGATTTTTTTTTTTTTGTGGGAGGTAGGAGACAGTGTGTTATATCTTGTTCTTTTTGTTTCTTGTTTTGTATGTTCCTACAATATAATTTCATAAAAACGTATACACAAAAATATATACAAAAAGCAAAAGGTTAGTATAATGAACTTCTACATACACCAGCTTCACGAGTTATTAACTCAGTACTTTAAGGTAAGTACTTTAAATAACATATCATTAGAGTTGTAAAGATTCTAGAGGCTATATAATCTCCCACTCCAAAATGGCAGGGTAGTAATCCTAAACATTTGAATTTCTCTAAACATAGGAATTTAAATGTTCTTGATGCAATTAGTTTATTTATTGAACAGTTGCTTTGTACACTGAGCTAAAGTGTGCTTCAGAAGAAACCCTGATTGGTTCAGTTAACGACTCTTCAACATGAACCTTAGGTTTATTGAAGACAAAAATTATATCTTTCTTATTACTAAGCTAAAAAAAAAAAGGTTCATCCTAAAAACACATGTAATAGTACTAGTAAAAAACTGGTAGACATTATGCATCCTAAGGAGACTAAGGGAACAATTTCACTTTCTTTACTGGTTTGTCAGTGGCTGTTGACAGTCTTATGAAGGACCAATGCTTAAATTAATTTTTAGTTTAAAACTTGAACACATTTTAACCACATATGGATTTTTATATATTTGATGTTAAAATGGCAGTCCATAAACTGAAACCTATTTGTTATGGTTACATTGCCTTTCAAGGCCCTCCTCAGAATACCTAGTAGATGCATCATTTATGAGATCTGTAAAGAAGGTCCTTTTCTATCAGAAATTCCCAATTCAGATTATTTTATTAATTTCAGAATCACTCCATAGTAGTGTATGTTAATTATGATTTTATTATTAAATAGTCCAGGATATTTAAATGATTCCCTTTTTAGCTGTTACTGGCAATGGCTTTGAATGAAGAGTAACTTTCTCAGTAATTTTATAAACCTTAAACTTCTTCCCCAAAATGTTCAAGTCACTTAATATTTTGAATTGCTTATACCCTAGGATGTATATCTGTATTTACCACAATGAGAATTTTATGTGGCACATACTTGTTAAATTTTTCAGAATAACTAGTGTTACACTTAGTCTGTATTTTATCATTTTCTTAAGCTTTTTTGTACAAGATGAAGACTGTGTTTTATTCTCATTGGTAGTTCAAAACTAGAATGTAATATTTCTCTTCTTGATTTCTGTAGAGCAGGTTGTTGCCCTGGATGCCCAAAATATCGTAGCTGTTTCATGTGGAGAAGCTCATACATTAGCACTAAATGACAAAGGCCAGGTGTATGCTTGGGGTCTCGATTCTGATGGACAGCTTGGCCTGCTAGGATCAGAGGAATGTATCAGAGTACCCAGGTAACAAAGGTGACCAAAAAGAGGTCTTTAACAATCTTTTATAATAAATTTGTTATCTAAATTATTCTGTTTACTGAGGGCCTGTAAGAGTTGACATCTAATTATTTCTCCCTTTTGAGTTCTTAAGGAGTTTACTAGGTAGGTTCTTGCCTATAATTTGGGCTAAGTGCTATTTTTTTACATCATTTTCCCCTAAATTATTTATGTTTGTAAAGAAAAGAGATGGGGAATATGTACTTTATTATAAATACTTTCTTTCTAAAATTTTAAAGTGGTTTAGGCTAATTTAAACTGCTGATTGTACCATCTTGAGTACCTCAGCTATTGAAATATTTATTAAATATTGGTTGGTTGCATGTTTCTTTGTCCTGTTTTTTTAGTCTTTATGGTTTTTATTGAATATAGAAGTCCCACATGCTTAGTATAAAGAATTCAGTCACTTTCCACTTTTTTACAAAGCAGTGGCCACAACTTATGTTAACCACTAATTCATCATAGGTTTATTTCAAAATTAAAAAATAAATGCCTCATTAATGTTGTATTAGAGATTTACATAGGGCATAGCCATTGTTTTAATATTAAACATTGTTAAGAGCATGAACATGTTTAGGTAAAAATACAGAGATTTAAAGAAAGTATCCAATTTGTTTTCAATACATAAATAATACATTAACTCACGCTTTGTTTTTTAAATTATACAAATTCTTGCTTCCTTAAACTCTTGTTCTTTCTTCCTAGTAATAGTTATAGGGACAAAAGAGAACTCTCCAGTGAAACAAGGTATTAAACTAATTTTAGATTTATTCTAGGTAGCATTATTTTACACACATTTAGATATTTTGTTTATGAATTTAACATTGATAATGTTTGTTTTGGTTTAAGGAGTAAGAAATAACTTACTAGGATAAGAAAATGGAACATGGGAACTAATATATTTCAGAACAGAAACTTATTGTTAGAAATGAGTTTTTTTTTTTTTAAGTAGGAAAGGTAGGTAGTTCCTTCAGTAAGCCTATAATCCCTTATGTGTATATGTTTATTGAAAAACCTAAAAGTATTTAAAATATTTGGTTCTAATTTATTAAAAGTGGGTTTTTTATTTTTTTATTTTTTGGTCTTTAACATTTTATAATTGTTCTAGTAGTGAACTGTCCTTTGAGACTTTTGGATACATCATATTCACATATTTTCTTGATTTACCTTGTAACTAAATTCCATAAAACTCCCCCAATTTCTTCCCTATTATTATTATTATTTTTTCCTTCTTCTTCTTTCTCTTCTTCTTCTTCTTCTTTTAATATTTGTTTATTTTTGAGAGAGAGATGGGGGGAGGGTCAGAGAGAGAGAGGGAGACACAGAATCTGAAGCAGTCCCCAGGCTCTGAGCTGTCAGCACAGAGCCAACACAGGGCCCGAACTCACAAACCACAACTTGGGAGATCATGACCTGAGTTGAAATCTCATGCTTAACCAACTGAGCTACCCAGGTGCTCCTCCCTTTATTTCTTCTGTTTTAACAATTAAATAACAAACACAACTTTCATTATGCTTTTAATATCTCTTAATGATAGTGCTCTTTGGAGAAGCTTTTTTTTTTTTTCTTAAGCTAAATAAATTGAATTCTTTTAGTTATTTCAATTTAGATTTATTTCAGAAAATGGTAATTTGCAACCAAATGGCTATTGGCTAGGTAATAATACAAAGCATTCATAGAACATAGTGACCTCACGTTTGTCATATCCTCTACTGCTTTTATTCCCTCCATAAATAATTGTTGTAGAATGGGATTTTTAACTTAAGATTTTAAGTTGTGTGTATTTAGGATTGAAAAGGGACTTAAATGTTTGATCATCTAAGTCAACATTCTCAAAACCAAGATTTAGGTCCAAACTTTCTAATCTCTTTTATGTTTACTGGTTTCTTAAAATCATACTTATATTTTTGTTGCTGTTCACTTCTCGTATAGGAGATTTCAGTCAGTAATCCGTAGATTCTTATTAAATGGAAAGAAAGGTAATTAAATATAGAATAGTTTATTATATGAGTTTATTTGAACAATGCCCTATAATAAATTATGTATTTGTGACTTTATTATTTTATGAACCTGGATAGGGACCTGAAAGAGATCTTTTGTGAGTCGTTTGGTTTAAACTTGTATGTTTTTGTATTTGCTAAATATGTGTATTAACTTTAAGCTCTGTGTTAAGGCATTTTTCCTGTTCAACCTCCTCAGTTTTCAACAGACCGATCTGATTTGTTATGATATATACATATTTTTACTGATATTTTCGTGTGTTAAAGGGCAATATTTTGTTTTGAGGCAATTCATGCTCAGAAGCTGAGTTTGTCTTTGCCAGCAATCTATTTATCACAGATTTACTGCAGGAATTTCACAAGCCAGTAGCATATGGGATAATGTCTGTTATTAAGCCAGTAAATAAATAACATACTCCAAACCAGTGATAGGTAAATCACACTATTGTTTCAAGCAAGAGGAGATGATAGTAATAAAGATCAAATTACCTGAGATATACATTCATATGACTTGGTACTAGGGAGAGATGGCTTAGCCAACTGAGAGCTGATGTCCTCCTGCCAGCACAAATATAAAAGTCCTGTTTTAGAGCACCTTGCTAGGGAAGGATGCACCTAGCATGTGTTGATGGGTGAGGGGATCTTTTTCCCAGGGATGCTGCTTGGTTTTTTTTTTTTTTTACCACTGAGGTTTAAAAAGTCTCCTTTACTATGGGGGCGCCTGGGTGGCTCAGTCAGTTAAGCATCTGGCTCTTGGTTTCAACTCAGGTCATGATCTCCCAGTTCATGGGTTCAAGGCCTACATTGGGTACTGCACTGACAGTGTGGATGGAGCCTGCTTGGGATTCTCTCTTTCCCTCTCTCTCCCTCCCTCTCTCAGTGCCTCTCCCTGCTCATGTTCAGTCTCTCTCTCTCAAAATAAATAAATAAACTAAAAAGAAAGTCTCCTTTACTATGGCTGGAGCTAATTGCTCTAAGGTCCTTGGAGAACTGCTTAGATCAGCAAAGAGTAGCCTTGCCAAGATCTAAGACTCTGCAATAATCCTCACAAACTCTCAGTATTTATAGTCTAAATGTTCTCTTGCTATAGTTTTTCTTGATAAGCCCCCAGTGGGGCTGGCCTCTCAGCAGCTAAGCCACTGAGTTCATCCAGAGCAGATGAGATGATGACATCCTGACACAACTTACTTCATCTTTATATCACAACAACTTTACTCTTAAGAACAGTTTCATTTTTGTCATAAATAGGTTTGAAATCAAAGCAATATACGACATAGTAGAAATACATTTTTGTGAAAGACTGCCAGTGATTTTTTTTCTTTTTAAATTTTGATACCAAATCATTTTTATTTTATTTTATTTTATTTATTTTATTTTTTCTGGGAGCCAAATCATTTTTAACTGCAAGGCCTTTTCTGTATGCTTAGAGGTATCAGCCAGCTTCATAAATTTCTCATTCATCTTGAATAAAACGTATAGAAGATCGGTGAAAACTGTATGTAAATAGATTTTTAAAAATTAGTGTTTATAGGGGCGCCTGGGTGGCGCAGTCGGTTAAGCGTCCGACTTCAGCCAGGTCACGATCTCGCGGTCCGTGATTTCGAGCCCCGTGTCGGGCTCTGGGCTGATGGCTCAGAGCCTGGAGCCTGTTTCCGAATCTGTGTCTCCCTCTCTCTCTGCCCCTCCCCTGTTCATGCTCTGTCTCTCTCTGTCCCTAAAATAAATAAACGTTGAACAAAATTAAAAAAAAAAAATTAGTGTTTATAATTAAAAAAAAAATTTTTTTTAATGTTTATTTATTTTTGAGACAGAGAGAGCATGAATGGGGGAGGGTCAGAGAGAGAGGGAGACACAGAATTGGAAGGAGGCTCCAGGCTCTGAGCTGTCAGCACAGAGCCTGACGCGGGGCTCGAACTCACGGACCGTGAGATCATGACCTGAGCCGAAGTTGGACGCTTAACCGACTGAGCCACCCAGGCGCCCCCAAAATTAGTGTTTGTAATTTTTATAAGAATGATCAGAAAAATGATGATTCACATTAGGCTGTACTTCTTTGAGAACAAAATCCACTTTTATGCTAGTAGATAAGAATATTTAAATAAAGCCACACTTTAAGATGAAAGAATGTAAAATTAATAATAGATTACATTTGAAATTTATACGACTTCAATGATCTTTTCCTACTTCTAATTTTATTTTGTTTTGAAATCACTACTTCTTGGGGAAAGACTAAAATTCTTCAATACCAACGCTGCTCTCTGATTTCTGCCTAGTTATTTTTTTTTTTTTATGTAGGATATATGTTATTGCCTTTATAAAAACGTTTTAAGCCTAATTTTACTATCTGTTAGTTTGGTATGAGTGGAAATACATATTTTTCCACACAACCTTTAGAAACATTGTAGACCATAAAGTTGTAGTGTATTTTTAAAAGTTCTGTTTCTTGGACATATGCAATAAAAAGTATGACAGGGTGGTATAATATGATCCTTGTGAAAACAGCGGTTTCTGGATTATAGAAACTAATTAAAGATGTTTGACTTATCAGCTTGGTCAAAAGTAAAATTTATTTTCTTTATTTCAGTCAATTTTAAACATTTAAATTTTAGATTAAAAAGAAAAAGAATTTTTTTTTAATTTTTTTTTGAACGTTTATTTATTTTTGAGACAGAGAGAGACAGAGCATGAATGGGGGAGGGTCAGAGAGAGGGAGACACAGAATCTGAAACAGGCTCCAGGCTCTGAGCTGTCAGCACAGAGCCCGACGCAGGGCTCGAACTCAGAGACTGCGAGATCATGACCTGAGCCGAAGTTGGCCGCTTAACCGACTGAGCCACCCAGGCGCCCCAGAAAAAGTATTTTTTAATGGTAGAGCTAGGTTGATTGTTAGCGTAAATTTTTTTTTAATGTTTCTTTTCTGTTTTAAAAAAAATTTTTTTTACATTTATTTATTTTTGAGAAACAGAGTGAGACAAAGTGTGAGCGGGGCAGGGGCAGAGAGAGAAGGAGACACAGAATCTGTAGCAGGCTCCAGGCTCTGAACAAGAGGTCAGCACAGAGCCTGATGTGGGGCTCAAACCCACAAACTGTGAGATCATGACCTGAGCTGAAGTTGGACGCTCAGCCGACTGAGCCACTCAGGCGCCCCTTTAATGTTTATTTTTGAGAGAGTGAGTGAGTGCAGGAGAGGAGGAGAGAGAGAGAGGGAGACAGAGGATCCAAAGTGGGCTCCTGCGCTGACAGCAGAGAGCCCCATGTGGGGCTCGAACTCACGAATCTTGAGATCATGACCTGAGCTGAAATTGGATGCTTAACGGAGTCATCCAGGCACCCCATAAACAATAATGCCACAGTACAGTATCTTTCCTTGTCACTGTTGCAGACATGGCCAAAGAAATTAACATTTATGTTGTATACCAAGCAGTATAATAATTTTGGAAATGCGGAAGTCACCAAGTGTAAATTGCTATGCAAATTTAGAAGTTTGGGGGCAGACTTTATGAATGGTTTACTACTACAGCCTCAAAGACTTTGCAAACTCATTTATCCTTTATCAGTGTATTCATTACATACTTTTTGCCAGGCACTGTGGTAAGCGCTGGGAATTCTATGGATAGAAGACACATAATTTGCCTTTACAGAGCTTATTGTTTAGCAGAGTACACTAGTAATAATTAAATGAATAAGTACACTAGTAATTAACAGTGATAAATGCTGTGAAGGAAGAAAACATAAGGTGCTATGAGAGTGTAATATTTGAAATATTTTATTTGGACTCGGTACCTGGAACAGGTTTTTAAAAACAGTTAATACATTTTAAAAAATACTTAATATAGTTCACTGGTCAGTGTATCATGTGCCTGATATTCAAAAACAGTAAAAGTGAATGTTCAATAACTTCAGCACAGTTGCACAAATCCATTTATTTTTTTATTTCTGTTTTTGCATTGCTAGTGTTTGATTTTGCTAATTGCAGAAAAATGGCATTTTGCTACATTTGAAAATCTGAAGGTGCATTGGATCCTGCTAACCTGCTGGATTTTGCTAATTTAGAGCAATGCAGCCCTCAGGTTTTGTAGTTAAGAACATATATCCACTAAAAAAAAATATTTTTTGTACAACAATATGGAATTAGAGTAACTCTCCTTTCTCCTGCTCAAAATTTGATTTGCTGAAGCTGCCTCCCGAAAATCATGGGTATCGACACTCTGGTCAGAACTTGCTCCGGACTCTCATATGGCAGAATCAGGTCAGGTGGCAGTATCAGGTAAAGGGAAATAAGAAACATATTATGTTTCCTTCCCCCTTTCTATCTTGAAACATTCATTCAGGAAAAACAGAATGACCAGGAGAAGGGGAAATGCATAAAAAACACCTGGGATGATTGATGCAAAAAGTTGCTTGATTTTTGTAATGTTTTAAAAATTAGCTTTAGGATTATGTTACATTTAAGGAAAAATCAGAAATTGGGCTCAGGGGGAAGAAACTATAAAAATATAAAGAAAAAATGCAAGATGGTAGAAATAGGACTGAACGTATCAGTGATCATAATAAATATGATGAGTAAATTTCTCTACTAAAAAATTGTTCAGTATCACTGATTTAGATGCAGAGGTAAAGGATAGCTCAAAAGGAATAGGTTTCAAATCTGTGAATTGGTAGCACCGCATGATAGGAATCTCTGTTGATTCTTAAGGAGCCTTATAGACAACATGTATTAAATGAAGCCAAACACCAATTTTAGACAAATTAGTTCATGTACATTTGTTTCACAAATGTATTGCCAGGTTTCACACTTTAAGCTAAAGATTTTTTTTAATTTTGATAAAACATCTGAATTATAAAAACACTGAGGAATACTTGAGGCGTGAGATTAGTTTACTTTGCTTAAATACTTTTTTCAAAGTGTTTTCTTATTACACCTCTTAATTTTTTCACACTAGATTTTGTTTACTGTTGTTAGCGTAAATAGTTGGGTACATTGACTTGTATAAAAATACTATGAAATAACTAGGTCAGTAGGAAACTACTTGCACATAGTAGGTGGTCAATAAATGGCATTAATAAATAGTATTCAGGATCCATTTATTAAATGGAATTAACTGATTTTGATCTCTTTTTTTATTTTCTAGAAATATTAAAAGTTTGTCAGATATCCAGATAGTACAGGTTGCTTGTGGTTACTATCATTCACTTGCACTTTCTAAAGGTAAGTATTGTTTTCCTTTTCTTGCCCTTTTACAGTTTTATTACATGGTACTTGAATTGAGCAGAAAGTCCTCCAACTTTGTTCTTATTCAGGATTGTCCTGGTTCTTTTTGATCTTTTTCATATCCATATACAGTTTAGAATTAGCTTGCCAGTCTTCACAGGCACACATATTCTGGGATTTTGATTGGGATTAAATTGTTTCTGTAAATTAGTTTTAGGAAAATCCTTATAATATTGAATCTTTTAATTCTTGAACATGTTATGTCCCTCATTTCAATCTCCTTTTAATTTTTCTCAATAGTATTTTGTTGTTTTCTGTGGAGAGGTCTTACACATCTTCTATTAGATTTTTCCATAGATATTTGACATTTTTTTACTGTGAACAGTATCATTTCCAGATTATTGCTAGTATATAGACATGAAGTTGATTTTTGTGTCTAATTGTTCTATAGTGTGCTAAATGCTAAGCCTTCATAGATGGGGAAGGTTATAACTTGCTCAGTCTCATTTAGGATCTTAGACTTTTTATGAACAGAAACAAAGAAGGCTATAAGCATTCTCTTAGCTTTGTTTGCATTTGTTTCTTATTCATTTAACTTCTTCATATGCCAGCTAAGGATTGTGGCGTGGGTTACTATGTTGGTCTTTACCATTTAAAGTGTAAGTTCCAGTGGCTTCATTATTATTATTATTTAATTCATTAAATGTCTAGTGAGGCCTACTGTGAATGTAGCACTAGGCTAGAGCTATGGGGAAATACAGGTAAGATAATACAGTTACAGACAGCATAGGGTGGCAGTGAGAGGAGCCAAAGTGATCAGCAGAACGAATTATTTTAGGGATCATAACATGTAGTGGAGGGAGCAGATATACAAATAAATAACTAGTTTGAGGCAGAAAAAAACTGTACTATTTTGGTCAAGGTCGAAGTAAAATGCTATGTGAATGAAGAAAAAAGTAATTTGTTCAAATCAGTAAGAGACTTGTTAACAATAAGAGACTTAGTATTTGATACAAGTCTTAAACGATGAACAAAATTTATTCAGGATTAGAGAAATGTTGAGAAGTAGCTAGAGGAAGTGTTGAGGATTGGTTAAAGAGGTAGTACCAGTAAATCAGGAAAAAAATCAGGCATAAAATCAGGAAAAGTATTTTGTGTATTTGAGTATCAGCATATAGTTTTATGTGGGTATTGTGAGAACATGAGAGACATACTGATACTTCAGTTGAGGTAATGTGTTACAAAGGCCTTAAATGCCAGTATTAAGGCATTTGCATTTCTGTAGGCAGTGGGGAAGCTGGCATCTCTGTATTCTTTGTTGTTATTTTGTCAGCTTTTCTTTTGATATTTTGGTAGGTAGATCCCAAATAAATTTAAACCCAAAGGTTTTACTGATGAGGAGGGCAGTTTTCTGCCTTGACTTACAGGGATTCTTTTGCCTTGTTCAGCTTCATGGCTTTAGCAGTATTTTACTCATTTAATGATTTTTTTGATCACTCATTATGAACTAGGCACTTTAGAGTGTACAATGTGTAGGGGTAAGCAGTACACTACTAGCTGGTACTTAATGGTATGGTCATATTCATATAAATTATAATATAATTATGTACTGTGAAAAGGGACTGTAAAGAAGAAAGTTTAGGATTATTTAAAACATATAGCAGGGGACTGAACTTAATATGGGCCACCAGGGAAACCTATTCCTTCTGGGAGAGAGTTGAAGTGAACTAGACAAAGATGAGGGGAAGGTCTACACGGAGAGAACTGTAAGTGTGTGAGAAGTGAGCATTGGAGAATGTAAAGGAAGATGAGTGTCACTAGAGTAGAGTGAGTGAGGGAAGAGACTGATATGAAAGGAGCTTGGAAACAGGTAGATTATGTAGAACATTACTTTTAACGTTGTTAAAAGTGCTTATCCCAGTACCGGTGGGAAGGCACTGCTATATTTTTTTCAGGTGAGCAACATTATCAAATCTATATTTTAATAATACCTCTATGTATATATATATAGATGTCTGCTAGTATGTGCATAGAATATTTTTGGAAGTACATACCAGTAATTGGTAAGAGTGGTTGTCTCTTGGGAGAGGACCTGGGGGTCTAATTTTTAGAGGGAAACTTATTTTTAAGTGTATACTATTTTATCATGTGAATTTTGAAAACAATTATTAGTGCCACTTAATAAGAATAAATAAAAAGATGTCTAAAGTTGCAAAATAGGGTGGCAGTTGGGGGAGCAAAAGTGACAAGTAGAGAGAATCAGGTGAGATGGTGAGGAGTGGATCTATGTGCCATATTTTTCTTTAGTAGGAAAACTGTGGTGGTATGTGATAGATTGATAACAATCTGTGTATAAGGTAAGAGAAGAGTTAAGGATGACTCTCTATGTTTATGGGTTGTGTTACTGAGTCAGTTATAATATCACATAAACTGAGATAGAGAACACTGGGAATAGGTCCAGATATGGGAGGTGGAGGGGGGGTCATAAATTGTTTGGAACACACTGAGCTGGAGGTGCCTTTGTAATATCCAAGTGTAGATATCACATAAGCATTGGATACATGGGTTTATTGCTTATAAGAGAGGTCTGGTCTAGTGATAAAATTTTGAATGTGATCAGCGTATAATAACTGAGGAGTTGGTTGAGTGCCTCTTGGGATAAACCAAAGAATAAAAGTGAGACTTGAGGATTATCAAAAAGAGATGGTTCTATCATAAGGAATGTAAGGAAATGAGACTAGACTACCCTCAGTTATGTGACTTACCCATTTATTAGTAAAGTTGGTCAAACTGTAAGTGTACCAATACAGAATGTTCTTACATGTTTCCATATAAAAGGGGAATATGTATTTCTATTTGATGAGAGGGAGAATGTCTCAAAATAACTGATGATCTTCAAATGAAATTTTGTATGTATGTGAAAAATAATTACTTTTATAATTTCTGTTTTACAGCAAGTGAAGTCTTCTGTTGGGGACAAAATAAATATGGCCAATTGGGTTTAGGCATTGACTGTAAAAAGCAAGCCTCACCACAGCTGATCAAGTCTTTGCTTGGAATCCCTTTCATGCAAGTTGCAGCGGGAGGAGCCCATAGTTTTGTACTCACCCTTTCTGGAGCTATTTTTGGATGGGGACGCAACAAATTTGGTCAACTAGGTCTTAATGATGAAAATGGTAGGTTTTCATTATTTATAGATAAATGTACTTAAAAAGAGATGATCTTTTGAGATGGATCAATGATTCTTAATGTCAGGAAGAAATGTACCCAAATCTTTCCGATACGGAGAAGGGGATAAAAGATTTATTTATTTATTTATTTTTTCAATATATGAAATTTATTGTCAAATTGGTTTCCATACAACACCCAGTGCTCATCCCAAAAGGTGCCCTCCTCAATACCCAGTTCTCAACAGTCTCTTATGCTTTGGCTCTCTCCCACTCTAACCTCTTTTTTTTTTTTCCTTCCCCTCCCCCATGGGTTTCTGTTAAGTTTCTCAGGATCCACATAAGAGTGAAAACATATGGTATCTGTCTTAAAGATTTATTTAAAAATTCCATTTGGTAATATTTTTTAAGGGATTGTGGGAAGGCCAGAAAATACCATCTTATTGCAAAATAAACTCTAGAAAGTATATCTGGATAAAAATCTTTGTTTTTAGATGTTCATTAAAAGAAAGTTGTGGAAAACATTACTGCAAATTGGAAATCACATTACTGGCCATCATTGGTGGAAAGAAGTTTTAAAATTATTCTGGAAAGTAACATGGAGTGTTAATCTATTTGAGTTTTTCAAGGAAGTATTTAAATAATCTGAGTCATTAAATCTTTATCTTGGACTTCACTTTTAACATGGATTCTGGAGTCTTGAAAATAAACAATTTGAATTTTAAAAAATTATAATTACTTGAAACAAGTTAGGATCTTGGAACTGATTTTTCATAACTGCATAAGTTCGATGCCAATATTTGAAATACAAAAACTAATTTCATCAAGCTCAACATAATTGTCATGATTTAAGTGGACAAAAGTGAGTTGTTGGTCTAGTAACTAGCAACTGGTAATGATAAGCAAATAACACTCAGAATTTTAAAATATTTTATTGTGCATAAGAAAAATATGTCAGATTAGGACATTTTTTTTTCTGGTACAAAGTAGCAGGAAGTATAATTTTCATGCATTTAAATAGAATCCTGTGAGCTTAATTATCATGAGGTAAATATAAAGAATGATGTGTGTGTATTGGAAACAGATAGTTTTGAAATTCCTTGATTTCTAGTTCTGTGTAGATTCGTGTTAGGGCACTTTAACACTTAAATTACTCTTTAAAACCCTCCTTTAAAAAGATCTGGGAACCCAGCTAATTTGGCTTGTACTACAAAATCATTGACTTACAGTTAAAAATTATTTGCCACTGTCTACTGAGCTTGGGAAGCTGTAAAGGAAACACATTTTGGAAGAGTTTTAATTTAAGAATACCATTAACATTTCTTGTTGGAATTTTCAGATAGGTATGTTCCTAATTTACTAAAGTCACTAAGAACTCAGAAAATAGTTTATATTTGTTGTGGAGAAGATCATACTGCTGCACTAACCAAGGTATTGTACTCCCATAAAACTTCTTTATTATTATTCATGGTAGTTATTTTATAATTAGTGAATGTTTTCATGATATTTACTTTAGAACTTGAGTATTAATTAATGTCTAAAAAATAATCTTGAAAAAAGCACTAAATTATTGTCAAAAACAATTTACCTTAATTTTCAACTTTGTTTCAGGTTATGTAATGTGAATTATCTGTTAAATGTGATGATACATTTTGTTGAATTTCTCATGTTCATGTGTAATACTGCTTTAGGAATATTTTGAATGAAAAAGTTCCCTTTTAGTTTGTCATACTTGCCATGTTATGTGTATCAATCCCGTTTATATTGTGTAACTGCCTCATTTTTTTTTTTTTTTTTTTTAAACGTTTATTTATTTTTGGGACAGAGAGAGACAGAGCATGAACGGGGGAGGGGCAGAAAGAGAGGGAGACACAGAATCAGAAACAGGCTCCAGGTTCTGAGCCATCAGCCCAGAGCCTGACGCGGGGCTCGAACCCACGGACCGCGAGATCGTGACCTGGCTGAAGTCGGACGCTTAACCGACTGCGCCACCCAGGCGCCCCAGTAACTGCCTCATTTTAATTTAACTCTCATTGGGCTTATAAATACCATATAACAAGTAATAGAGGAGAATGAATCTATTATCCATAGGCCAGGAATTATGCAGTTATAATGAGCTTTCATCACAGTCTCATTAATGGTTTTAACTCTGTCTTTTCTTGGGTATGTGCCATTACATTATCATTACTATGTAGTTCTCTAGTGATTGGAAGGAAAATGAAAATAAAAACCGTAGATTAACCTTTACCAGGAATATTATTGGCACATTTTTTATTGGCTGAATTAGAAATGAATGTGTTTGCTTTATCTTCAATTTGCATAGTACATAAATTTGCAAGAAAAAGTTAACTTCTAATCAGACTTCTACACACACAAAATTCTACACACCCACATTGGGATTTTTTTTTTTTATAAGAATTTTTCTTAGTTCTCAAGTATAGTATATTCAGTACTTTTAAAAATATGACTAATTATAAAAGTTGATTTTTAAAATTTTTATATTACTGTACTTGCCTTTTAGTAAGGAAATTTTACTTATCTGCCAATCTTACTGATTTTTATCAAGTTACAGATGTAATCACTAAAGTCTTATTAAATCATGTTGGCATGTTCTAAATTCTAGTTGTTCTCTTCTGTCGTAGGTATTTAGAAGAAATAAATCTATGTTTTTAGTTTTTTTTGTTTTTTTGTTTTTTTTAAATAAGTCTATGTTGAAATACTAGCGTAAAGAAATATTTTGTGTATTATTCCTTGGTGTTAACTTTGTGGTGGGAAGGCTCACAACGTTAATGTTTTATCAAATTCAGCCCTTCAAATAACCACTTATCTTATTTTCTTAGGATATGTAACTGTTTATAGCTATTGAGTTTTTTTTTAATCCCAGTCTTCTGTGTTCCTCTCAAGGGAGTAGCTGGTGATACTTGTTCACTGGAATTTTGGGGGAATATTATTTTTAACAAAATCAGATAGTTTTAAATATCCCAATAGGAAAATATTTTATTTCCCTTGATTTAAGTTAGAATATAGTTCCATATCCATGTATCTTGTTTTTCTGGAAGAATTTCTTGCAAATAAATTAGGATTGCTAATTTAGGACAAAGCAGTTTTCTTGTGCAAAACCTGTATTAGGAAAACAACATCAGGAAAAATTTAAACAGACTTTTAAAAACAGAATAAATAATGTAAAGAAAGGTATGTTAATGGGTATGAACACACTATCATAAAGATGTCAACTTTTTTTAGGTTAATTTACCAATTCGTTATGCAAATCAGGGGTTCCTGGGTGGTTCAGCTGGTTAAGCATCTGATTTTGGCTCAGGTCATGATCTCACAGTTCATGAGTTCCAGCCCCACATTGGGCTTTGCACTGACAGTGCAGAGCCTACTTGGGATTCTCTCCTTCTCTCCCTACCCCTCCCCCACTCGCACTTTCTCTCTCAAAATAAGCTCAAATCAATAAGCTTAAAAAACAAATTCATTATGCAAATCACATATACATACATCTTTTGACTTAGCAATCCTACTTTTAAGAATCTGTCCTAAAGATAGGAAATTATATATGCACAAGGTCATTAATTGTGGCTTTATTTTAATAGCAAAAGAACGAAAGAATGCAGATGTCTATCAGTAGCAGCCTAGTTGAATAAACTGCGGTAACCACACAAGACTTGTAAAATAGGTGTTTAACATTTAAATTTTTTTTTTTCAACATTTATTTATTTTTGGGACAGAGAGAGACAGAGCATGAACGGGGGAGGGGCAGAGAGAGAGAGGGAGACACAGAATCGGAAACAGGCTCCAGGCTCTGAGCCATCAGCCCAGAGCCTGACGCGGGGCTCAAACCCACTGACCGCCAGATCGTGACCTGGCTGAAGTCGGACGCTTAACCGACTGCGCCACCCAGGCGCCCCGGTGATTAACATTTAAACATGTAAACATGACTTGTAAAATAGAATAAGGAAGGTCTCTGTATTATGCTGTGGAATATCTTCAGCATGTATTGTTAAGTAAAAAGAGGAAGGTACAGAATAATTGCCTTTTGTATAAGCAGGGATAAAAGATGAACATGTTATATGTTACTTACATTTTTAAAAATGTAATAGCTAGATCAAATGTACCTTGCCTTATCATTTTGACTTTACAACTTAGAAACTTACATATAATTAAAAAGCAAACATATGTTTTTAAGCAATTGCTAACAATTGAAAATTAAAAAATAGTGGCACTACTACAAAAGGAGAATTCTTTTAAGTCCTTTTACAGTGCAGTGTTTTGTTTCATATCACTAGTGGGAAATAGCCTGAATATAAACCGAATTGCCACAAAAATTTTAAACTGCATTCTGTAGTCTTCCTGTTAGTAGTAAAATTGATAGTATTATTTTCAATATATTACATACAGGATAAGAAAAAGCAAATAAGTACTTTACTGTTACTGGAAACTATGGTTTTCAGCTTAAGACAAAAGAAACATAAAACAATAATAATTAAATTAAAATCTCCTGATTTTTACTTTTATTTATTTTAAAAAGTTTTTTGTTTTTTTTTTTTTTTTTACAGTTTATTTATTTTGAGAGAGAGAGCATGCGCTGGGGAGGGGCAAAGAGAGACAGAGAGCGAGAGAGAATCCCAAACAGGTTCTTTAGGGTCAGTGCAGAGACTGATGTAGGGCTCAAACTCACAAAACCTTGAGATCATGACCTGAGCCAAAATCTAGAGTTGGATGCTTAACCAACTGAGCCACCCAGGCACCCATTGTGATCTTTACTTTTAATCAGAAGTGTTAGTAGGAAGTCTTACTCTTTTTCTTCTAAAAAAATTTTTTTTTCTTCCATGACCATTGAATGGTCCTAGAAGTAATTAGCCATGTACAATGTGGAAGCAGTGAGCATCACTTGATTTAGTAGACTCAATATAAAAAATAACCAGAGCTTCTTAGAGAAGAGTCTGATTTCATATCTGGGGCAAAACAGAACAAAACAAAAAAGTGTGAGAATAGCTTTGGGTATTATGTGTTACAAAAAAGGAGACTACTAAGGTCATGTCTGTGGGACAACATCAAGGAGTTTTTCACAAAAAGAAGTAACAATGGCAATACATGGAAATATACCAAATATGTAAAAATTCATGACTTCATTATAATACTCTTCTTCAAATCAATATAAAGCAAACTTCATTGCTTATCTTTGAAAGTTGCTAGGACAACTCATTTTTCTAAAAATTCATAAATAAGGAAACATTTTTCTTGCTTCCTATTTGCAGATTATATTTCAGAATAACTTAATAGTTGGTGAATTAAGTTCTCTATAGAAGAATTCCAACTAATCTAAGAGAAATAATAAGATTAGAAAATTTCCATTTTATACTCCCTAATAATGAATTGAGGCAAAGATCAAAATGTTAAACTTAATGTGGATGGATTAGGCTGTGAAACTTGTTAACTTGCTTATTTTTAACATTATCAACCAGACATTTGCTTTGTCGTGATGAAATAAAATAATCAGGAAAACTTAAACATGGCATCAATATCAGATAATAATTAAAATTGAAGAGGTCAATTCTTGAAGAGGATATAACAACTGTACCCATGTATGTACCCAATACAAAAGCATCTAAATAATATTATGCAAATATTAACAGAGCTAGAGGCAGAAATAAACAGTAGTAATAGTAGGGGACTCTAGCACTCTACTTTCAACAATAGGTAGGTCATCCATACAGAAAATCAGTAAGGAAATATTGGACTTGTATTACACTTATACCAAATGCACTAACATACAGAGCACCCCATCCAACAACAGCAGAATACACATTCTTCTGAAGTGCACAATAGAATATTCTGCAGGAGAGATTGTATGTTAGATCACAAAACAAGTCTTAACAAATTTAAAAAGAATTGAAACGATATCGAGTATCTTTTTCAGCCACAATGGTATGAAATGGTATGAGTCAATAATGGGAGGAGAGCTAGAACATTTGCAGGTATGTGGAAATTAGCACACTCCTGAACAGTCACTAGGTCGAAAAATAAATAAAAGGGAAGTAAAATATCTTGAGACAAGTGAAAATGGAAACAACATACCAAAACTTATGGGATGCAGCAAAAACAGCTCTGAGGGAGATAGATAAAAATAAGCTATGTCACCATAAATCCAGTAAAGTGTTTATAACATAAACAGCTACATTAAGAAAAAGATCTCAAAACAGCATTTATACTTCAAGGAACTGGTGGAGGTGGGGGGAGGGCAGGGAAACCAAAGTTAGCAGAAGGAAGAAAATAACAGGTCAGAGCAGAAATAAAGACTAAAAAAACCAGTAAAGATAACCAAAACTAAGAACTCTTTTCCTGAAAAGTTAAAAAAAGTAATCGATAGATGTTTAGGTAAACACTGTCAGAAATGAAGAGACATTACAACCCATACTTCACAAATAAAAGGACTATAAGAAACTATGAACAATTATATGCCAACAAATTAGATAACATAAATGAAATGGATAAATTCCTGGAAACATTCAAACTACCAAGAGTGAATCATGAAGAAATAGAAAAATCTAAACAGACTTTTAACAGGTAAGGGGAGTGAATCATTAATCAGAAATCTCCCAACAAAGAAAAACCCAGGATTAGATGACTTCACTGGTGAATTTTACCATTTAATAATTACTGCCAGTCCATCTCAAACTCTTTGGAAAAATAGACATTTTTAAATGCATTTTATGAGGCCACCATTATGTTAATACCAAAGCCACACAAAGACAACATAAGACAATAAAATTACAGGCTACTTATCCCTAACAGACATAGGTGTAAAACTCAACAAAATATGAGCAAACCAAATTTAACAGCACATGAAAATGATCATATACCATGATCAAGTGGGATTTATCCCTGGGATGCAAAAATGTTTCAACATCTGCAAATCAGTCAACACCACATTAATAGAATGAAGATTAAAAGTCATATAAACATCCTGATGTAGGAAAATCATTTGGCAAATTTCAACATCTTTTCATGATAAAAATTCTCAGTATAGAAGGAATATACCTCAATATAATAAAGACCATAAATAACAAGCCCACAGCAAACATATTTAGTGGTGAAAAGGTGAAAGTTTTTCCTGTAAGATCAAGAATAAGATAGAAGATGCCTACCTTTGTCACTTCTACTCTAGTACTGAATCCTAGCCAAAGCAGTTTTAGTAAAGAAAGAAATGAGGTGCTCAAACTAGAGAGGAAAAAGTAAAATTGTCTCTGTTTGCACATGACATATATATAGAGAACCCTAAAGACTCTACCAAAAGTCTATTTGAAAAAAAAATTTTTTTTAAGGTTTATTTATTTTTGAGACAGAGACAGAGCATGAACGGGGGAGGGGCAGAGAGAGAGGGAGACACAGAATCGGAAACAGGCTTCAGGCTCTGAGCCATCAGCCCAGAGCCTGATGCGGGGCTCGAACTCACAGACGGCGAGATCGTGACCCGGGCTGAAGTTGGACGCTTAACCGACTGAGCCACCCAGGCGCCCCCCAAAAGTCTATTTGAACTAATACATGAATTCAGTAACGTTGCAGGAAACAAAGTCAACATACAAAAATCAATTGCATCTCTATATGCTAAGAACAAACTCTGAAAGAAAAATTAAGAAAGCATTCCCATGTACAATATCATTAAAAACAATAAAATACTTTGGAATATGGGGTGTCTGGGTGGCTACGTCAGTTAAAGCATCCAACTTCAACTCAGGTCATGGTCTCACAGTTTGTGAGTTCAAGCCCTGTGCCGAGCTTTGTGCTGACAGCTCGGAACCTGGAACCTGCTTTGGATTCTGTGTCTTCCTCTCCCTTTGCTCCTCTCCCACTTGTGCTCTGTCTCTCTCTCTCAAAAATAAACATTAAAAAAAAAGGGGGGGGAATAAATTTAACCAAAGAGTGAAAGACCTGTATACTGAAAACTATATATGACATCAGTGAAAGAAATTGAAGACATAAGATAAATAGATACCACATGTTCTTAGATTAGAAGAATTAATATTGTTAAAATGTCCAAACTACTGAAATTGACCTACAGATTCAGAGTAACCCCTATCAAAAGTCCAATGGCATTTTTCATAGAAATAGAGCAGGCAATCTTGAAATTCATACGGGACCAAAAAAGACCAGGAATAGCCAAAGCAATATGGAGAAAGAACAGCAAAGCTCGAGCATTGTCCTTCCTGATTTCAACTGTAGTGATCAAAACAGTATACAACTTTATAAAAACAGACACATAGACCAAACAGATAGCCCAGAAATAAAACCACATATATATAGTTAACTAATCATTGACAAGGGACCAACAACACACAGTGGGACAGGTTGGCTTCTTCAGTAAATGGTGCTTGAAAATTATCCATATGTAAAAAAATGAAATTGGATGTCTGTTTTTACCACTCATAAAACAACTCAAAGTGGATTAAAGATCTAGTAAAACCTGAAACTAAAACTTGTAAAAGAAAACATGGGATGAAAAACCCTTTGACATTGGTCAAAACACAAGCAACAATAGCAAAAATAAATAGGTGGGACTACAAACTAAAAAAGTTTCGGCTCCACAGAGGACACCACTGAAGTGAAAAGGCAGTCTATGAAATGAGAGAAAATATTAGCAGACCATTTATCTGACAAGGGGGTAATATTCAAAATATAAAAGGAACTCCTATAACTCAATGGCTAAAAAACAGTCTATTTTAAAAACGAACAAAGGAGCTGAATAGATACTTTTCCAAAAAATATATACAAAGGTTATCTGGATGGTTCAGTAGGTTTACCTGCCAGCTCTTGATTTCAGCTCAGGTTAAAAATCTCACAGTTTGTGGGATTGGGTCCCTTGTCTGGCTCTGTGCTGACAGTGTGGATCCTGCATGGGATTCTCTCTCTTTCCCTCTTTCTCTGCCCTTCCCCTGCTCGTGCACACGCTCTTTCCTTTGTCTCAAAATAAATAAAGTTAAAAAAAACACACACACACACACACACACAAATAGCCAAACAGGTACAAGAAAAGGTGCTTAATGTTAACATCACAATCATCAGAGAAATGCAAATCAAAACCACAATGAGATAACACCTCACACCTGTTAGGGTTACTCTTATCAAAAACCAAAGGACAAGTATTGGTGAGGGTGTTAAGAAAGGGGAACCCTTGTTTTCACTGCTGGTGGGAATGTAAACTGGTGCAAATGGAAAACAGTATGGAGGTTCCTCAAAAAATTACAAATAGTGGGGCACCTGGGTGGCTCAGTCGGTGGGTGTCTGACCCTTGATCTCCACTTGGGTGTTGATCTCAGGGTCATGAGTTCAACCTCCACATTGGACTCTGCTGGGCATGAAGCCTACTTTAAAAAAAGAAAAAAAAAACAGGAAAGAAAAAAAATTACAAATAGAATTATATGCCCCAGCAAATTCCACTTCTGGGTGCATATCTGAAGGAAATAAAAAGAGGTTCTTGAAGAGATAACTGCACTCCCATGTTTATTGTAGCAGTTTTTCACAATAGCCAAGAAACCTAAGTGTCCATTACCAGGTAGATGGATAAAGAAAATGTGATTTATACATATATGTGTACACACATATACACACTGGAATAATATTCAGCCACAAAAAAAGAGGGAAATCATTTCCAACAACATAGATGAATCTGGAGGGCATTATGCTAAGTGAAATAAGCCAAAGATAAATATTATGTATCATTTATATGGAAAATCTTTAAAAAGAAAAAGTCAAATCTGTAGAAATGGAGAGTAGAATGTTTGCCGGGGGCTGGTGGGGTGTAAAGAAATGGGAAATTGGTCAAGGATATAAACTTTCTGTTATAAGATGAGTAAGTTTTAAAGATCTGATATATAGCATTGTGACTGTAGTTAACAAAACTGTATTCTGTACCTGAAATTTCCAGGAGAGTAGATCTGAAGCATTCTTATAAAAAAAAAAAAAATATGTGAGGTGTTGATGTGTTAATTAACTTCTTTGTGGTAGTCATTTCACAATGTATGTATATGTCAAATCCCATTGTACACTTTATATACAATTTTATTTGGCAATTCAGTTATACCTAAATAAAACTGGGGAAAATGATACCAGTTACAAAAAACCATAAGAAGTAAAAACACTTTTGCTGTTTCTATCAAGAAATTAATACTAATTTTGTAAATGTGATAATAGTATTACTGTATTGTATGTTTTTATATGTTAGAGGTTTGTGCCATTGAAGATACATACATATTTATAGGTGAGATGATTTGATGACCACAGTTTGCTTTAAAGTACTCCAGTACTTTTTAGGGTGCCTGAGTGGCTCAGTAGGTTATTTCAACAAATACTTTGGAAAAGTTTTTGGAGATTTGTGACAATTTGAAAAAACTCCCAGGTAAACTGTGTAGCCTTTCTTTTATGCCAAAAAAAAAAAAAAAAAAGGTGGTTATTGTTTATGTTATCAGTAAGGCTTTCAGTCAGAAATAGGCTATTAGTTTTTAGGTAATCAAAAGTTGTATGCGGATTTTTGACTGCAGAAGGTGTTGACATCCCTAACCCCTGCACTGTTTAGGGGTCAACTGTATATTGTAGCAACTATGTGTTAAAAATAGGTATATTTGTGCATTCTGGTTTACTTATACTCTTTCAGCTTTTATGTTAAAAGCATAACCAGTTTGAAAACTGAAGATGATACCATTTTTTGGTTTTGTGATATTTTATAGTTATGTACTTGGGATTCAGTAAATATAATGGTAGTGAAAGGCAATGCAAAAAATGATTAGTATCTCTTTAATGGTGGCTCTAACTAAGTATAATGAGAACACATTTAAGTACTTCTAAAATATGTGAAAATAACCTCAACCTGGAACTTAGTTTTAAAACATTTTACCTTGAAAGGTCAGCTATCATCTGTTAGATTGTGGAGACAATAGAAAAGAAAAATTGACTCCATATATTAAAGATTAACTTATTTTCTTAAATTATTTTCTTTCATCAGGCTTTCTAATGATGAAGAGTTTTGTCTTTTTTTTTTTTTTTTTTTTTTTTTTTAAGGAAGGTGGAGTGTTTACTTTTGGAGCTGGAGGGTATGGTCAGTTGGGTCATAACTCTACCAGTCATGAAATAAATCCAAGGAAAGTTTTTGAACTTATGGGAAGCATTGTCACTCAGATTGCTTGTGGAAGGTAAGTTATTGTATACGAGTATTTTAGTCTCTATAATTCAGTTACTTAAAATTTTTTCTAACAGTCCAGAGGTCTTTTATTTATTTATTTTTTTAATGTTTATTTATTTATTTTGGGGGAGAAAGGGGAGAGGGAAGGGGAACGTGTGTGGGGGAAGGGCAGAGAGAGGGAGAGAGAATCCCAAACAGGATCTGTGCTGTCAATGCATGATCTCCTGACCTGGGACAAGTCAAGAGTGACACTTAACCAATTGAGCCACCCAGGCACCCCTAGAGGTCTTTTGTTTTTTTACACCTTCTTGGCCATGAATTTATAGGGAGTGAGTTCTAGTAGCTGAAGCTTCTTTCCGTTGGTTCTCACAAACTGTATTTCTCTGGTTGGAGCATGCTGGCACTTCAGTTGAACTCAAGTACTTTTTTCTTTGGCTTCCTTTTTTAATCATTTCCCTTCACATGTTTGAGGAAGCTCTATCTTGGCTGTCAGTACTTAATGTTTTCAGTATGCACAATAATTTTCTAGGCAAGAAGAATCTTGTCTTTGTTTATTTACAGCAATGCCACCAGCATGCTGGGTATCATCATAGACTTCCAGTTTTGCCTTGGTAACATTTGTCCAGCATTCCTTTTTGAATAGTGCCCATCCCCTCTATGTCTATGGTATAACCTTTCTTGTGGATTTGCGTGTATGTGGTCAAAGTACCAATTCCATGTTTGCTAAAAGGCCTAAAGAACATATAGGGGTGTCTCTCCTTTTTCCCTTTGTGTTGGTCATTTTGCAAATTACTAGAAGATGGCAGTTCCTAGCTGAAAGTAGGTATTTTTTTTAATGAGTTGTTTAGCATTCTAGGAATCTAAGATAAAAACATTCTTCCTTAAATGCCTGATTTGCTGGTGAGGAGTAATAGTAACAGGAGAAACATCATTTATACTTACTATTTTACTTTTCTCTATTCGAAAAAGATTTATCTGGGGCAAGATATTAATAATATATATGTGACATTGTATTTATTGTATGTAGCATCATACTTGAGGGTGAAGTATAGGTCATCTTTTTTTTCTTTTTCTTTTCCACCTTTTTAAATTTAAACAGTGAGGAAATTGAGCAGTTAATTAACACCTGAGAGTAGTTATTGCTGAAAGTTGAATTGGAATACTGATTTCCTGATTCCCAATTCTTGGGAGTAAGTACAAGAGTCACAGCTTTGAAATTGAGCTTCACCTTTGGTGCATTAAATTAGGTAGACTCCCAAAAAGCAAAATATACTTTGTTTGACTAACTCAGCTTGATTTTTGCCTCATAGCTACCATATAAATATATATATCCATATAAAATATAGTTCAGTCTTGCCAACTGTTAGCTTCAAATACATGAAATCACACTGTAGGTAGTCTTTGGTAGCTTTTTTTTTTTTAACAGGCATTTATTTGTGTGCTTCCAGTTTTTGGCAATTACAAATAATGTTGCTTTGAACATTTGTTATATGATATATATATAAACCTTTATATTTCTAAGTATATACCTAAAATGGGATTGCTGGGTCATAGAAGATATTTAACTTGAATTTTGCAGGTTAATGTCACCCTGTTTACCAGAATTTACATTCTACATTTATGTGTCCTTGTCCCCATTTGGCATTGTCAGACTTTGAAACTTTTGCTAATCTCTTGGATATATAGTGTTACTTAATCATGATTTTAGGGGTGCCTGGGTGGCATAGTCAGTTAAGCATCTGTCTCGATTTCGGCTCAGGTCATGATCTCATGGTTCATGGGTACACATTGGGCTGTGCGCAGAGTAGAGTCAGCTTGAGATTCTCTTTCTCTCTTGGCCCCTGCTTGCATGCTTTCTCTCTCTCACACAAAATAAATAAATAAACCTTTTAAAACATCATGACTTTAATTTGCATTTCCATGATTTGATATGGATTGGATTGAATCTGTAGATCACTTTGGGAAGTATTGATATTTTAACATTAAGTTTTCCAATCCATGAACATGAAATGTCTTTCCATTTATGTCTTTAATTTCTTTCAGTAAGTTTTATAGTTTTCATCCTATATCTTTTACCTTTTTGTTCAATTTCTAAATATCTCATTCTTTTTGATACTATTGTAAACGGCATTGTTTTTTAAATTTCTTTTTCGATTGTTCATTATTAATGTATAGAAATACAATTGATTTTTGCATTTTGATTTTGTATCCTGCTGTTTTGGTGATTTTTGTTTCTTTTTTTTGTTTTGTTTTTTAGTTCTGATAGATTTTTGGTGGAGTCTCTAAGGTTTTCAACATATAAGATCATATCATCTGTACACAGAGATAATTTTACTACTTTCTCAACTTAGGTGGCTTTTATTTCTTTTTCTTGCTAAAACTTCCAGTACTATGTTGTTGAATAGTATTCAAAGTAGACATCCTTGCCTTGTTCCTGATCTTAGAGGAAACTTTCAGTTTGTCACCATTGAGTATGATGTTTATTGTGGGTTTTTCATAGATGGCTTTTATTATGTTGAGGTAATGTTCTTCTATTCTTAGTTTTTGAGTATTTCAAAAAAGGGTGTTGAATTTTGTTGATTTTTTTTCTGTATCAGTTGAAATGATAATAATGGGTTTTTTTCTTCATTGCCTTAATATTATAAATTACTTTGATCAGTTTGCATATGTTGAACCATCCCTGCATTCCAGGAATGAATCCCATGTGCCTTTGCTGTACAGTTTTTTAATATACTACTGGATTCTGTTTGCTAATATTGTATTGAGAATTTTTGCATCACTGTCCATAAGGGATAATGGTCTGTAGTTTTCTTGTAGAGTCCTTGTCTGACTTTGATATCAGGACAGTGTTGGCCTCATGGAATGAGTTAGAAAGTTACACCTCTTCCAAGTTTTTTGGAAAACTCTGAATAGGATTGGATTTAGTTCTTTTAATGTTTGGTAGAAGTCACCAATGAAACTATTTAATGTAGGGCTTTTCTTTGCTGGGAGATTTTTTTTTATCAATTTAGTCGTTTTACTGTTCATAGATCTTTTCTGTTTTCCTATTTTTCGTGATGTAGTACTAGTAAATTTTGTATTTCTAAGATTTTGTGTATTTTATCTAAATCATCTAATTTTTGGCAAATAATTGCTTATATACTCTTCTTATGATCCTTTTTATTTTGGCAGCATTAATAGTAGGGCCCCTACTTTTACTTCTGATTTTAGTAATTTCTTTCTTTTCTTTTTTCTTAGTCAAGTTAAAGTTCTGTCAGTTTTGTTGATCTTTGTAAAACCAGCTTTTAGTTCACTGACTTTTGCTATTTTTGTATTCTCTATTTCATTTATCTCAGCTCTAATTTTTCTTCTGCTAGCTTTGTGTTTAAAGTTGTAAAGTTGGGTTGTTCACATGAGATCTTTCTTGTTTTTAAATGTAAATTTCCCCCTTATCACTACTTTCCCTTCATCTCTTGTTTTGATATATTGTGTTTTCATTTTCATTTATCTCTTACGTCTTTCTGATTTGTCTGTGATTTCTTTGATTCATAGGTCATTTAAAAGTGTGTTGTTGAATTTCCACAGATTTGTGAATTTTGTAATTTCCTAATGTTACTGATTTCTAATGTTATCCCATTGTGTTCAGAGAAGATACTTTATATGGTGTCTGTCTTTTAAAATCTATTGAGACTTACTTTCTGGCCTACCATATGGTCTAATGTGGATAGTGTCCCATGTCCTTTGAGAAGAATGTGTATATTATTGTTGTTGAATAGTGTGTCCTATTAGATCTAGTTGACTTATTGTTCAAATTCTCTTTTTCCTTACTTCTGTGTGGTTATTCTGTTTTTGAGAGTAAGGTCATTAAAGTCTCTAACCATTATTGCAGAATAATTTCTCCCTTCAGTTCTTTCAGTTTTTGTTTTATATATTTTGATGGTCTTTTATTAGATGTGTAAATGATTTTAATTGTTACTTTTGCTGTATTGAACCTTTTGTTGAAATATAATGTCCTTTGTCTCTTGTAACCTTTTTTGATTTAAAGTCTGTTTTGTCCGCTAATTGTATGGCCATTTTACTCTCTTTTGGTTATTGGCATGGAATATCTTTTTTCATCTTTTCACTTTTTGGTCTTTTTTTTTTTTTTTTTTTTTTTTTAATACCATTCTGCCAGTCTCTGTGTTTTGAGTGCGCAACTTAACCCATTTACATTTAAAGGTAATTATGAGATGTAGGGACTTCTGTCATTTTGTTATTTTCTTTCTGTATGTCTTCTACTTTTTTGTTCTTCATTTCCTGGATTTACTGTCTCTTTTTGTTGTTTGTTGTTGTTGTTGTTGTTGTTGTTGTTGTTGTTTTAGTGAAATGTTTTAATTCTCTTCTCATGTCCTTTTCTGTATATTCTGTAGCTACTTTCTTTGTGGTTACCATGGTGATTACATTTAAGATCCTGAAGTTATAACACTAATTCACATTAATACTGGGTTAACTTCAACAACATACAAAAACTCTGTTCCTGTATGGCTCTACTGCCACCCCCTTTCAGTTATTGTTTTCACAAAATAACTTATTTATACTGTGTGTCACAGTCATACCATCTGTGAATCAGTTTAGCTTTATTTCTTCATTTCTAATACTTACGGTTAACATATCTCTTGTCCTAGTCTGGTGTCCTGTCTGGGACACCAGGTTGATGTTCACTAGAAGTGCTAAAGATCAAGGCATGTTGTCCTATGTTCTGTCTGTGAGCAAACCTTCAGTATTTCACAATTAAGTATCATGTTTGCCATAAGTTTACTGTAGATAACCTATATCACATTAAGGAATTTTTCTTTTTTCATAGTTAAAAGGATTATTTATTTATTTTTAATGAGTGGCTGTTAAGTATTTGTTGGTCTTTCTGGATCTATTGAAATGATTTATGATTTTTCTTCTTTAATCTGTTAAAATGGTGAACTATATGAATGGATTTTAGTAAATAAAAACAGCTTTACTTTTCTGTAGTAGCTCCAGTTTAATCATCTATGTTAC